GAGCAAACATTATTTTAAAATTATTTTAATAATAATTGTTAAAGATAAATATCTAGGATCTAATTTACAACGATTTCAATAATTTAACAATCATATCGATTTTAGTATTAATATGGACATTACATAGATCAAAATAGAAATTAGGTGTTTGACATTTTGTGACAACTACTGCGAAAAGTAACATATTCTCACTCGGGTGGAAAGTAAATTCTTATTCATACGCGTGTGATATAGGGTACTTTCCATAGGACTATATAGTATGATATGTGTCACTTTCCTAAGTGGTCGTAGGAAAAAATATTAACCACTGAAATGGCAAATTTTTTATATGCATGAAAGAGCTGCTCAACTGTCAAAAAAATTTTCAGTATAATTTCGTTCAGGGTACCCACCAAAAGAAAAATTTCCGGAAATTTTTCTGGTTGTCATGAAAGTGTTTTAAAATAACAGCAGTTGATTGGCTATGAAATGGAGGTGTACAATTATAATTTAATCTATCACGTGACAAATTTTCAAACCCGGGAAAATAAAAGCAAAAATATTATATTTTTTCCATTTAGAAGATATTACCAGACTCATTAGCCAATTTCGTAAATCAGCCAGACTTATTATTATAAACAGTTCATGATTGTATCAATTTTATGCCACACTCACTTTCCACTATCTGAGATAATCCAAACTGCTATTTTTATAAGCTTTATTTTCTAGTTTAGTAAATGTAAAATAGTTATGACTGGGAAAATAAGTGTCAGACTCAAAAATTTTGTTTTTTGTCACTAAGAGAACAGTTTATTTTTCATATACGCCGCGCCGACTGGAAAAATGAATACGAAAAAAATTCACTGCCTCCTGAACTACATGTAAAATTGCAAAATCAATCAAATGGCACGATTCTTTTTATTTTTTAATTTCTGTTCTGAAATCTGAAATGTTTGGGTGGATGTGCGATAAATGTTCGAATATTTTTGGGGGGCTAATTTGGTTTTTTTTTTTGGGGGGGGGGGGGGGGGGTTTAGCCCCCCAAGCCCCCCTTAACTTCGCCCATTGATCACATTAGCCCTAAAATGATTTTGCATTGCTGCCTTTACATTTTACCATACCTAAGTCATATTTTCGATTTTATTATATATAAAATTCATATATAAATTCATCCAATTTTCCTACATTATGGGAAAAGCATATGTTATATCGCTAAGATATTTAAAAAAATTATTTATGTCAACCAGTTTTCCTTGCTTCCTTCCGGTCATTCTAAAGCCCGATTTAGCTCTACTACTACGTTGTTGAAAGTTGTAGATAACATTCTCTATGCTACTAATATTAACTGTATTAATACTTCTTGATTTTAGCAAGGCCTTAGGATTTTCCATCTCATGTATAAATTTATTAAAAGGTTAATAATTATACAAAACAAATACAATACAAAATAAAACTTTCTAAGCATCTACTCCGGCGTATCGCAAGGTTTTATTCTAGGGCCACTTCTATTTGTCTGATACACCTCAAAATGTTTGGTATCTCTTAAATCTTATAGTATCGTATTCTATAAAGATGACTGTACAGACTAGCTTATTGTACATCCACGTACTTGAAACAATTAAGCAGGTCACATCGTGGATGGTTAATTCCTAGGACTTTCCACCTAGGGACCTAGCCAACAACCGTTTAGCCATCGACTAGAATGGGTAGAATGAATGACGGTGAAAGAGGCAGTGAATTGGTGAATGTGAAATCTACCCTTTCTAATGTGGTTGCGTAGTTTTTATATCGGCAATTGTTATTTCAAAAAAGTCTTGGTTCTCCCGATTTGTAAATGTAGAAACTAGTTGCAGAGACAACACGAGACGGTTAACTTCATAGCAAAAATTGATTGACATTTAGATATAGTAGTCATCAGGGTCAGCTGGTATTTTATTTTTGTCATGTACATTATTTCCTTATAACGTTATTTTGTTCTCATAAGCTAAAAGATAGGGTAGATGTCGCTGGTAACGTTCCAGCAATGTTGTAGTTATGAACATTTTCTAAATTTGTTTCTATTACATTTAAATAATAATGATCTTATTTATCCATAAGTAATACTTATATTGGACTTTTAATTTCTTTGTACCAATAAAAACTCCCAGGCCGGATATTTTGGTAAGTATTAGAGATATTTTAATTCTGTAAAAGCCAGTTCATAGAGCGCTAAGAGAGCTTCAGTTTTAGATATAAATTAATTTTGAATAGGTCAATATGTAGATGGCGCTGCGCTCAATAATTTTTTTTTTCGATAGGAGGATCTTTCTTATGTAGCGCATCTTGTAAAAAATGCATTTTTAAGCAAATTGTGTTCTATGAACTAATTCGATAAATCTAGCCATTTTTTATATACAGGGTGGGTCACTCAAAACAGTTTCATCCTGTTTTTCGACATTAATCATTGGATTTTTAGAAAATGCTAAAACAGGTCGATTTTTATTCCAAATTAAATACATTTTTACAATACAGACATCTGTCATTTGTCAACCCCCTCCCTTCCACTTCTCCAATCCCTTAATTTTAAATAAGGAATGTACCATGTACGGCACATCATTAAAAAGGTAATTTTATGGTGAAGTCAGAAATATGACAGTTTATTGTGATACTTTTAATTTTAGCGCCCTCTATCAGGATAAAAAAATCTGTAACGTATTATAAAGTGTGACACTTCATTTAAAAGCTAATTTAATTACTGATTCAATGCACCACATAATATTAATATAAATATTTCCATATAGCACTTGCAACAAAATAAAGTTAGCAATAAGGTTTAAAATAATACAAGACTAATTTTCAAACTATTGAAAGTGCAATATGGATATTTATATTAATATTACAGTATTATTTATGTTATGTGTTACACTGAATTAGTAATTAAATTTGCTTTCAAATAAAGTGTCACACTTTAAAATACGTAGTTTTTTATCCCGATAGAGGGCTGTACAATTAAAAGTATTTCAATGAACAGTCATATTTCCAAATTTCCCATAAAATTACCTTTTTAATAATGTACTACACATTGTATTATCACACTCTATAATACGTAGTAGTTTTTTATCCCGCTAAAGGGCGATAAAATTTAAGTATTGCAATGTATAGAAATATTTATGAATTCCCCATTAAATTACCTTTTCAATGATGTGCCATACATGGTACATTACCTATTTAAAATTAAGGTGTGGAGAAGTATAAGGGTGGGGGTTGACACATGACAGATTTCTGTATTTTAAAAAGGTTTTCTTTTGGAATAAAAATCGACCTGTTTTAGCATTTTTTTAAAATCCAATGATTAATGCTGAAAAATAGGATGAAACTATTTTAAGTGACCCACTCTGTATATCAAAAATGGCTAGATTTATCGAATTAGTTCATTGAACAAAATCTGCTTATAAATGCATGTTTTACAAGATGCGCTGCACAAGAAAGATCCTTCCATCGAAAAGAATTTATTGAGCGCAGTGCCATCTACATATTGACTTATTTAAAATAAATTTATATCTAAAACTGAAGCTCTCTTAGTGCTCTGTGAACTGGCTTTCACAGAATTAAAATATCTCTATTACTTACCAAAATATCCGGCCTGGGAGTTTTTATTGGTACACCCTGTATAATATATATAACAAAAGATGTGTTTTAAGAAATATATAGCAGGATTGTGTACAAAGATCAAAAATAAAAAGTTTTGAGTAGCTAAGTACTGAATGCTAGAAGGCCAACAGCACTAGAAGAAAATAAGTTTGGCATCACAGCACGAGCATTTCACTTTTACGTCTGCCAGAGCCAGATTGACGTATTTCTAACCTGTCGTTTTATCTCCTAATCCTATTTTTTGTTTCTATGTTTGGTGACTTTGGTGTTGTTTTATTCTCGTTTCGTTTTACTTATATGTATATATTTTACAATTTAACTTGTAAATTCATTTTTTGGTTGTTTTTCATTCATTATAAGTTACGTTATTAAATTTGTTAGTTTAGTGTTTTCCCCGATGAATGACATTTTCATCGTGGTGATTTTATATTAGGTAGTTTTAAGTTTGTTTACAAACCCGAAGGAACTTTTGTTTAATTTCCGTAGAGTAAGTATTTCAATTTTATTGTAGAACCTTTGTGGTGTGAATGTTTATTATTGTTTAATACAGAATATATCTTATTGAAATCATACTTCGTTTTTTTTCGCCTCGTGTTCTGTGTAGGCTTTGTTACTGTTTCCCAGCGCCACTTTAGGAACAGCACTGTTAATTAGAACCCAACAGTGAATGGTCGAGTGGGGAATCCTACCAAGGCATCAGAATTAATTTTAAATAAATAAACTAAATGAAAAAATTCCGGCCAACGGTGGGATTCGAACCTGAGACCTTCCGATCTCAAAGTCATGACTCTAACCACTGAGCCAACCCACCCCCTCATACGTTTTATTTTCCTTTTTAATGCTTTTTATTTTGTGTGTCTAAAAAAATGATTTTTTTTCTGATTTGATGTGCTAGTAAATGGGAATTACATATTTATTCACATTTCCAGTGCATCAAATCAGAAAAAAATCATAAAAATAATAGATAAAGTGGATCTACATATTTGAATTTCCCGCGAATCTTCTTTTTTTAAAGAAAAATTTTAAATTGACCGGTTGCTTATAAAGAAAAATGCCACTATTAAAGCACAAGGTATACCAGCGCCATCGGCCTCATCTTCCAGTCCAATCGCCCAGTCAATTCTTGGTGAAAAGCAAAATTGCATTGAGTTAACTGTCTCATTAGTTGGATCGTTGCATCGTCAGCATTGCAACGTTGAAATTCCGCCATTACAATATTTTTTTTAATAATCCTATTATAAAGTTCGTTAACCCTTGGGGGAACGCTGACTAGGGGTATATATTGTAATAATTTCTGATTGCGAACAAATAAAGAAACATTTTTTAAATTTTAAAACTGTACAAAGATAATATTTTTTTTGTTATTTAAAAAATGTGTTACATTGTTCCAGGTGCCAGCATATACATCAGAATGGATAACTTCAGTGGAAGATCACTTAGAGAGAAAGACAGGAAGGCTGGAACTTTCGGGAGTCGGAGGTAGTTGGGGTACCCTTAGGTTACGTTGTGAGGCCACTCTCTTTAGGTTATACCGTGCCAACAGCCTGGAGGTAGAAGTACGACCGGATACACCCCAACCGGCATCAGTACTCTTAGGACCAAGTAACAAAGGTTGGTAGAATATAAAATACAATTTAATTTAGTTTATTTTAACAGTGTATAAAGTAAAACTAACAATGTGCGATAAAAAAAAAAAAACACTGATGAACTTAACAAAGACCAATCAGAACTACCATTTATAGGATCAGAACCTGTGTTTGGAATTAATCCAATCTCTTCTCGACAAGCAGTGAACAGGCAGATAAGCACTAGTCATCAAATCGTTGGCAATAGATAATAGAACACAGGCTCATACTGATGCTAAAGAGACCAAACCTATGCATGGCTATTGAGGTATTATAATTCGCAAGGCCTCGACATCCACCATTGTGGGATTACGGACCACTGCTTGTTGAAAATTTGTATGTGATGATCCCACCACGTTTAGCCTGATAACACGTTATCTTCGAATGCAAAGCTCTAGCTATGCAGCAATACACCCTTTTCAGTCTAGAACTGGAACGAGCGGTCTATGCTCAACCCGTCCTTTAGATCAAATTTTGAGAAAAATTTACATTCACCAAATTTTTGAATAATTTCGTCACCGATTGGAAAAGGAAATGGATCTAATTCCTAATTAATTTTTCGGCAATCAACCGAAAGTTCTCATAAGATTTTGTGTTTAAAACACACGGTGAAGCAAAAGGAGATATTGACTTCGAAATTATTTTGTTTTTAAACTCAACCTTATTTTTTACCCATATTGTTTTGTTTTCTGAATATGGATAGGGTTTCAGCTTAACAATTTTTGCATTTTCTTTTAAATTAAAATTTATTTCAAAGGTTGACGGTTTTTAATCATTATACAGGGTGTTTCAAAAAGGTATGTCATAAATTCTTCCTCAGATAGATTACCAAAAACACGTGGATTTGGCTATATTTACCTATATCAAAAACTGGCTCCTAACAAAGTTACAGGGCGTTAAAATAACATCCAAAAAAATATTTTTTTGTCGTAAAAAGTATGCTGTTGCGATTTTTTCTTTGAATTTTTTACCAGTGCTGTAGATATAAAAGCCCAATATTCTAAAGAGACGGTTTTGAAAGCCTTTTAGAATGTGCCAGACTCAGGAAAACTCTACAGAGAGATAAGCAAGGATGCATGGGATCTCTGAAAAATCAACAAGGAGAACTCAAAAAAACAGAGGAGGAGACCTTAGATTTACTACTAAAGTCACACTTTCCTGGATGTGAGATTATTCTTGACCAAGAGAACCGGAGTACTGAGGCACTAATTTCTAGGGCCTCAAAAACAAACTGGTCTCTTGCAAACTCAATAGTAAACAGAACAAAACTTGTGTGGGCGATAAATTCCTTTCAACCATACAAATCAGCTGGACCTGATGGTATAATCCCGGCACTTCTACAAAAGGGCCAGGAAGTACTAGAGGGACCACTGTGTAAACTATTCCGAGCTAGCATAGCCCTCGGATATGTTCCACAAAGCTAGAGGTGTGCAAGAGAGCTCTATTTTTTCATAAACCCGGGAAAGCGTCTTACGAGGAGACCAAATCTTTCAGACCAATCAGCTTAACATTATTTCTCCTAAAAACATTGAAGAAATTGATCGATAGATATATACGGGACGATGTTCTACAGGATAAAGCGATACATCGATACCAGTTTGCCTACCAATCTGAAAAGTCTTACGATGTAGCTATACATAAGCTAGCTCAACAGGCTGAACAAGCATTGGAAAGCAAAGAAATAACACTAGGAGTCTTCCTAGATATAGAAGGAGCCTTTGACTCAACTTCATAAAATTCAATACTGGGATCTATGCACAGGCGTGGAGTAGCCCACTGGATTTCGAGGTGGGTTGAGTTCGTGCTTAATCATAGAACCATTACCAGTAATCTCCTTAACACAACAAGAAAGGTCTCAGTTAACAAGGGATGCCCGCAGGGAGGAGTGTTATCTCCTCTTATGTGTTACCTTGGTGGTTGATGACCTCTTATGGGAGTAAGAGAAAGAAAACTTATAAATGCAAGCATTTGCAGACGAAATAAGCATCGTACAAACGGTAAATTTGGGTCTGTTATATCCGAAAGGATGCAGCGGGCACTAAATATCGTCAAAATATGGTGCCTAAAAGAGGGATTGTCCACATACCCGACAAAAACCTCTGTTGTTGCATTCACAAGAAAAAGGAACCTTCAAGGAATGAAGGAGCTTTATGTGTGGGGACAACATCTAAAAATGGCAAAAGAGGTTAAATATCTTGGAATCACTAAGCGCTAAGCTTCTGCAGCCATATAGAAAAAACAAAAGAAAAAGCTGTAATAATACTATGGGCCTGTAGACGGATGGTAGAGAACGTATGGGGGTTTAAACCAAGTATGATGCACAGGATTTACACTATGGTTGTAGTACCTGTTATAACTTACTCATCAGTCATATGGTGGCAGAAGACTAAAAGCATAACAGCTAACAGAAAATTAGACAAGGTGCAAAGACTACCCTGTCTAATAATAACAGGGGCATTTAGAACTACTCCCACAGCAGCAATTGATCTACTGCTAGGTCTTCATCCACTACACCTTGTGGTGGAGAAGAAGGCTTTACTAATGGATTTGGATGAGAACTTTCGAGAAAAGGACACCACATAATGATATTAGAGAAATTAAAACAAAATCCGGTACTAAGAATGCCATCGGATAAACCGCCCATTATTTACGACTTTTGATATTCAAATACCAGAAAGGGCCAAAAGCCGAGAAAATAGGGGAAAACAAAACGATTCAATCTGGTATACAGACAATTGGAAAATGAAAAACAGCACAGGAGCTGGGATCTACCATGTGAACTCAGGGAGGACAATTAGTTTGAACCTGGGGTCACTGACAACAGTCTTCCAGACTGAACTAACAGCAATAAATGCCTACGCCAAAGTCATGCTAAATGACTCTCTTAGAGATAAGAGGATCTTTATCATGATAGATAGTCAGGCAGCCCTTAAAGCACTGAAAAGGGTAGAAGTACAATCTAAATCAATATTTGATTGCCAACAGTCCCTCCAGGCCCTGGCAACAAGGTCACCATTGAATGAGTGCCCGGACATGAGAGAGTGTTTGGAAACGAGAAAGCAGACCTCTTAGCAAGGAAGGGAGCGGAAAAAACTCTTATTGGACCAGAACCCACATGTGGTATCTCATACCAACATGTTAAATGGGTGTTAAAGGAACAAATAAATAGAGAATACCATAGGCTCTAGATGGATCTTCCTGGACTTAGACAATCCAAAAGATTCATAGAAGGGCCATCCACGATCAGACAACATCAACTGCTAAACCTTAGTAGAAGCAAACTCAAGGCCGTAATAGGACTTCTTACGGGACACTGCGGTCTTAGAAGACACCTAAATCTCTTAGGGATATCTGATGACTTCCTATGTAGAATGTGTGAAGAAGAGGACGAAACTCCTATTCACATACTATGCCGCTGTCGGAAGCTTAAATGGGACCGGGAATGGTACTTCGGGGTACAATATCCGGAACCTGAATAAATCTTGAATTCATCTGATGGGATAGAAACTGTGAGGGGTACAATAAGCCTAGAGCTTCATTACAGGTGGGCTTTTGAACCACGCCCTAATTCAGATAGATAGATAGAAAAAGACAAAAAAAATTAAAGCGACCCCCTTTAAAAAAAGTTGTGGCTTTTATCCCCCTCGTATTTTTTTTAACTTAAAGAAACTTGCTTTATTGATCTTAAAATCAAAACGAATTGAAAATTGTAAATAGCCCGTTAACTAAGAAAAATAAAAAGTTCATTTCTCTATAAAAAAATTGAATATGAATTTTTAAATTTTCTTTTGATTTTAAGATAGATAAAGCAAGTTTCTTTATGTTAAAAAAATAGGCTTTTAAACCTACAACACTGGCAAAAATTTCAAAGAAAAAATCACAACAGCAAAGATTTTACAAAAAAAAACCTTTTTCTGAATGTTAGTTTAACTTTGTTGAAAGCCAGTTTTTAATATAGGTAAATATAGCCAAATTCACTTATTTTTTGGTAATCTATCTGAGAAAGAATTAATGACGTACCTTTTTGAAACACCCTGTATTTTAGTAAATTTGGAAAAATTTTGGATATACTGTTTTCTGTAAATTCATTTTCTTTTTCTAAGTACCAATTTAATTTAAATATTTTCAATTTATTTAGTAAATGGCGTCCTAACAGCATACCAAAATTTAAATCTTTTACTACTGCGGCCATAAAAGTTACGAGCTGTTTATTGATTTCAATAGTTACTTCAGCTCTGAAAAAACATTTGGTTATTCCAGCTAAGCTCTTTATGCAAATAGACGCTTTATGAACAGGAAATTTATTTTTATTTACTAATTCTTCATCAATCAGATTATTATCTATCCAGTATTAAATAGTACTTTTATTTTTTGACCATTTAAAAGTAAATACTCAAAATTATATCCACTTGTCAGAGAATAAATGGAATAAATTTCAATACTATTTATTTGGTCTTCTGGTTCAATATTGCTTTCAACATTTAGCATTAAACACGTTTTCAGTTTTATATCTAATGTCTTTTTTATTGGCTGGCCTTGCATTTGAGAATCTCTTTTTGGCCACTGTCTATCAGAATATTCACCAACCATTGAGGATTTTAGTAGTTGAAGAAGTTCTTCTTTGGAATTGATGATTTTGCTTCTTAACTGTTTCTGAATTATCATTGCCACTCATGAAAGTTCAGAAATGATACTATCTGCCCATTTTAATAATTTTTGTTTTTCGTAAAAGTATTCTGGAATATTACCATTATAATATTTTTTATTCACATCTTTCACCCATTTAAAAAAAATATTTTTATCAAATGTATCGATAAAACTTAGTTACCAATTTTCCCATGTATATTAATTTAGTATAGTATCTTGGATTTTATCTTCGTACCACCTTAATGCAATGCCTTTTAACTGATTTCTTGGATTAAAAATTTTCTCATTATCCGTAATCCATTTATTAGCTGATTAGATATATTCATACGAACTGAGTCAAGTAGAAGGATTCTCACCTTGCCCGTCGTATTGAAACACTTTTATAAGATCTGTTTTAGTTAAAGTGGCAAACGTTATCCGTTTTGACATTAGCTGATCCAACTCCTTTTCTCCAAACAATCTTGTCTATCTCAGTGACATATTTATGTCATTGGTCTATCTCCTTTACCGTGCCTTTACCCAATGACATTTTAAACTATATATGTCATTGGCCTTTACCATAGTCAAGTTGGATAGTTGGTTTGTTTTGCTCTGATTGCTCCATATTAAAGAGAATTATTGAAATGGTCTCTAAATAATTCTTGAAATAAGGTTTTGCTTGGATCAAGTTTAATAATTTATTTTTTGTGACAATTCTCATAACCAGTCAACCCACGATACACTGATACACAAATGGTATGATGACTTTCGATTCAAAATTCGTTCAAACCACGCAGTGACGTAATGCGGGACAAAATTTAAAGTTATTCTGACTCTTTTCGATTGAATAGTCTGCCCTGCAATGGTAAAAAGCCTTATAAGCAAATTTCGATTTTTTTTTATAGGTTACTATTGACTTAACTTTTTACGCTCTTTTTAACGGTATAATTGCCGTTGGTTTAAGTCGTATCGTTGTTTCAATAAATGCATTGGACAAAGCAGGTATAAGTGTTATTTTTTCAGAGTACAATGATAAAAGGACGTAACTTCACTTTTTGTGCTTATAATACTTTGGTAAAATGACGTATATAAGCTATACAATAAAGCAAAAAAATACTTAATTTTTCAATGGAAGAAAAATGTATGATCTGGTGCAGTTAAATTATATTTTTTAGAGTGACAATATACAAATGTAACACAATGAACAAATACTTTATCAACTTCTTACGTTGTTGTTTCATTGTATGGTTAATAGACAATTCAAATCTTTACATTGTCAAAAAAACGTAAAATAGGTATACACGTTTTTACCACTTTTTGAATGCGTTTGAATTTCAACAATTCCAACCGTTATAGTTTTATACATGTCTTGACCCGAGTTTGGCGCGAACCTCTTAATTGCCAGAGGCCCAATTACTGACCCTTCGTTAACTTATCGCATGCGATAACGTATGCGACTTGATGAAAGTGTATTCCTGAACTGGCGGCATTCGTCAAATTTATTAACGCATGCGCTATAAAATGGTGACTTTCAAAGAGCGCCCGTTCGACAACCACTTTGTCGCATTCGTTAAGGTGAAAGTAAGGTTATAATCAGAGGGTTGTCTCCACATACTTTGATTTTCTTTTGTATGTGGTTGTCTCTGTTATAATTGTCAAATAATCCTGCTTTATCATAGGAGTTTTACAGGCACTAAACAATGTTATAAATTCTACTAAAGTTTCACGCTGTTGTTCCGTTATTCGTGAATCACGCTGTTCCATTTTTAATATTCTAAATCTAAACCACTCCAATTCTCAAGTCCAAAATACAAATAATCACAGTTAAAACATCCAAAAACCAAAAATTATTAGACATCTGCAATCCATTTAATTTTATAATTTTTGCATTTTTGGCAACTTTGACATATGTCAATGCAATTATCTCATATTCAGTGATACCATCTTTGGTATTCTCAATCCTCATTGGTTAAGACTATGCAATAATCAAAGACTCTTCGTTAACACGTTCGACTTGATTCGCGATTATCGCATGGTGTTCAGGAATACTTAATTGCTGTCGTATGCGTTAACGACCATGCGTTACTTAGCGCATGCGGCAGTTAACGCATGTTTCGAGAATTGGGCCCCAGAGGCCTTTCCTAACGGCAAGGTCAGTATTGTTGTATGTGTACCTATTCTGTGAGGTTTTGGTAAATATTGGCGTTAAAAAATGACTTCAAGGACATTATTTATGTTACGAAAAGCTACTGGGAAGGTAAGGAGGTCAATCTGTTATTTGTATATATAATTTAAGTTTCACAGTTTAAGGTTGTGTCTATTTAGTAGTCGAAACTGTTTTTTACTGGGTTTAATTCGACCAGTACGACGATTTGGTATAAATGTTAATAGTCAATACTTAACTAGTCAGAAGGAACGTATTCACCTAGTAGATTCCTATTAAAAGAAGCTTATTATTATTATTATTATTATTATTATTATTATTATTATTATTATTATTATTATTATTATTATTATTATTATTAATATTGGAGTTAGAGGGTCGGTTAATGGGCTGTTTTAGAGAAATTTCAGCAGAGGATTAGAGGATCTGTTTTCAAAAATGTTCTAGTAATTTTCGGTTTAAGAAAATCTTAAAAAAAAATGAAAACTATGAAATTTTGAGGGTATGCTATTAAGCTGGTATTGGAGCTTCCTTCTAAAAATGTTTTGAAGGTTACAACGTTGCCACTTCTACCCGAAAGTCGCACAAACTAGGAAATCCATCCGTTCCGTGCGATGCGAATAGTATGCGCCTACCTTAAGTATTTCGATCATAACTTTTATAATATTTTTATAGGTTCAAGATAGCAGACAAAATTATAAGAAAGACAAAGAAAATAGGGATCCTGATACTATAGTTTGCACTGTCGACATGCAAAAAGTAATTCTGTTGCCTAGAATGCCCGACGTAAAAGATTCATTCTTTTTATCCAGACTTATTCTATTCAACGAAAGTTTTGTTTCTCTAAAACCCAAAGATAAACACTTACTGGTAATCTAGCACGAGGCTATAGCTGCTAGAAATGCGGAAGAAGTTTCATGTGTTTTTTTGGCTTTCTTGTAAAAACTCAGAGATGTTAAAAACATAATTCTGTGGCTTGATAATTGTACGGGACAGAACAAAAATTGAGTTTTATATAGTACAATATTAAATTATTCATTAATTCAGGTTTATCTACTACTGAAGAAATATCTTTGAAATATCTCGTCAAAGGGCACACATTTATGGCAGCTGACGGAATCCATGGAAAGATCGAACAACAAATGAGAAAACAGAAAAGCGTTTGTGACGTTCAAGATTTTATTGAAGTGTGTGAAAAAACAGCAAAAAGAAACCTGATTTTGAGTTTTACTATTGGAGACTTCATGGATTTGAAATCTATAATAAAGCAAAAAAAACCAAAAGAAAGGAGAGCTGCTCTTCCGTACCTGAAAGATGTAGTCGAAGTTAAATTTAAAAGGGGTGGTATTCAATCATCCAAAAAGGAACCAATTCTAAAAGAATTAGCACCAAAGATGGCCGATAGTAGGAAGCAGTTTTGGGTTAATTTACATGTGAACGATGGTTCTGAAGACCTTCTGGAAGAAGGAGTATAATTTTTATTTTTGAATGTTTTCGTATAAATATTTGTTTTTCATTTTTATTTTATTTTTTGTTATTACATTTACATGTTTTAAAACATATCCTCTTCGCGTAAAATTTATTAACTGAAAATTAAACTTAATGTTTATTTTTTAATTATTAAAGAGATTGATAGATATGCATTAGTTTAAACACGTAAAAGTTACATAAATACAGAAGCCTTTAGAAGGATTGTAAAACTGTTAGTTTAATACAAAGGAAAATAAATGTATAGTTTTATAAGGTTTTATTTTGATTTTTTCCCTGTAATAAATAAATTTAAAAAAATGGTAAAAACAATTAAGCGACATTATAAAGCATGAACTGTGCCCACAAGATGTCAAAATAGAAAAATAAACACAGAATAATGTTTTGAAAAGCCTGTAAAAATGTCAAATCAAACGAATGTTAAATATAGATAATGTCGCATTATAAAATTCAAACACGTTTTACTCAAAACAGCTAAAACTCACATACAGCTTTTCACCATTGGAGGGCAGTAGTGTAAAATAATTTAATAATTTATTTGTTTTTGTGTTAGTAGTGACTCTATTTTCCTATATATAACAGGGAAGAACTAAATTAATGTTTAAAATGTCGGGCGGTGCGATTGAGATATTTCCGAATACCACAAAATATGGGTAAATTCTTATCGAAGAAAGGACAAACTTAATTGAAGTTGCCCTATCCACTTTGAGGAAAGTAGTTGTGAGATTCCTCTTAAGGAGGTCTTTTCGCCACCCCTTTCGCCACCAATGTTAAATAAAAAATATTAGATAATTACTAAAATTAATTTTTTTCTTCTAATAGTTGAAGTCCTTATTTATCTAATAGTGAACTTTTAACTATACCATACTAGGTTACTTGAAATTTTTTTTTAATATTAAATTCTCAATAAAGTCAACGGTAACCTATATATTTTATTGTAAAAAACAAATGCAAAATATTTCAAAAACCTAATTTTTTATTTTTTTCTACTCCATCTAATCAATAAATAATAGTATAATTCGAGAATTGTTGTTGAGATAGTAAGACATCTCGTAAGACACTGTACAAATACTCACATTTAAAAAAAATTCTCAAAAATTTGCACAGCAAGGTAAAGTCAAAAGTTCACTATTAGATAAATAAGGACTTCAACTATTAGAAAAAAATTAATTTTAGTCATAATCTAATATTTTTTATTTAACATTAGTGGCGAAAGGACCTCCTTAAACATAGACGCAAGAAAAGTAAACTGAATTCCACCAGGTGCATGGGCCTCATTAAACAAAGAAAAAAATCGGTATTTTTAGCAGATAAAACAGTAGTTTCCTGTCCCAATACAACGCTCCTTTTGAAGTAATGCCATGCATGAACGGGACACGAACATATATAAAAATAAGATAAATAAACAGAAAAATTGGTTTTGAGTATTATCAAAGTAAACTTGACAAAAAATATTTAAATTTACCAAATAAAAAGTAATGTTTTTGTGTACTTACTTTTTATAAATAAATAATTTGTTTCTGCACACTTTTTTTTTACACATAATAAAAAAAAGAGAGTGTAAGAGAACTACCATGCACAGAAAGTACAAATTTGAGTCTAACTTGTATTTTTAGTCTATATTTTTTACTTATCTTATGGCCAGGTTATGGATTTTGTCACAAAATACCTATAATTTATGAGAAAAATTAATATTTTTATTAGTATTATTTACCTTAAACCTTCATATTTGTTAACAAATATATTACAAAATAACCAATAAAGCTTAAGTAACTGCATAAAATCTAAAATTGGCCAAATATCGAATTTTAAACACTATCTCCCATTTGATGCTCATAATTCTATGTCCCACATGACGACACCGTCAGTCAGCTGCATGCGCAGGAACATACCATTAATCTGTGTATCGTGAGTCAACCTCATCTATTTTCCTGGAGACCTCTACAAGACATCCTCTTACAGGATGATATATTACAGTTATCATGTCCTTTTTCTTAGAGTGGCTATATTTTAAATTTGAAATTCAACTAATTTTATTGTAAAAAAAAGATTCAAAGAAGTATACTATTTGCAATTCTAGTATTGACAGGGTGTCCTCTTTTTTATCGATAGAATGATAAAAATTCTGCTTGTGGTGGGAATAAGTTCATAAATCAAGAAGAGTGAAACGACATTTACTGTGACTTATATTATTATATTCACCGCATAACGCCACACTACGACTATTTGTGCATAAGACACAATCATTTCTAACATATTTATAGTTAATTTAAAATAACGGTAAAAGGTCGAGAAACGCCGCACTTGACGAGACCACCCCTACGTATTTTGGGGTGCTGATTACGAAAATGAGGGTTAAAATTGGCAGCAATGGTTGGAACACCCCTAAAATTGCAAAAAACGCCCCTAAATAGGGGTGTTTTTCGACTGTACTTGTTGTTCTGCAAAATAAGCCATCTTATATGTTTTTTGGGGCGCTGATTACGAAAATCTGGGTTAAAACTTGCAGCAATGGTTGAACCACCCCTAAAATTGGGGATGTTTTTCGACTGTACTTGTTGTTTTGCACACTAACTCATCTCATATGTTTCTTGGGTCGCTGATTTCGAAAATCGGGGTGTCGAGACTGGACAATTTGTGTGACACCCCACATACCAGAAACACCCCTCCTAAGGGGTGAGTTTTCGCAAAAAATGACCAGTCACGGTGTTTCGCGAACTAAGTAATCTTATATGTTTTTTGGGTCGCTGTCCAGCACACTTTAAATTAATTTTTAATTTTTGAACAAAAAGTATCATGATCTTTCTGATACTCGTATTTTTTTAGTCTTTATTTAAAGTGATCTTCCGAAAACAAGAGATACCCGAAAAAAATCAATATTCCTATGAATCAAAACTCCTGTTCAGTTTAAATATGCCGCGTTGGAAACACTAGGGGACTCCAGAAGTCGTGTGAATACAGAGTCCTGGATTCAGGGTTTCTCACTATGCTCACATCTATATTTCGTATATTCTAGCATCAATGTTTGCTTTCTACTTCTTGCTCGTTCTGTTCTTGTATAATTTCGACGCAGTTTATTAATTTTTTAACATATAAGATGACTTAGTTCGTGAAACACCTTGACTGGTCATTTTTTCCGAAAATTCACCCCTTGGGAGGGGTGTTTCTGGAGGGTGTCACACACATTTTCCAGTCTCGACATCCCGACTTTCGAAATCAGCGTCCCAAAAAACATATGAAATAAGTTAGTTTGCAAAACAACGAGTACAATCGAAAAACACCCCTATTTAGGAGTATTTTTTGCAATTTTGGGGGTGGTTCAACCATTGCTGCAAGTTTTAACCCCGAGTTTTGTAATCACCGCCCCAAAAAACATAAGATGGCTTAGTTTGCAAAACAACAAGTACAGTCGAAAACCACCACTATTTAGGGGTGTTTTTTGCAATTTTAGGGGTGTTCCAACCATTACTGATAGTTTTAACCCTCATTTTCGTAATCAGCGTCCCAAAATACGTAGGGGACAAGTGGTCTCGTCAAGTGCGGCGTTTCTCGACCTTTTACCGTTATTTTAAATGGACTGTTAGGCTTCATTATTGACTTTTTACAGTTACCTGTTTGTAGTTGGTTATCAGGGCCGACTAGAGGGGGGGTAGCCGGGACTAATTCCCGGGGCCCGGATTCAAATGGGGGCCCGCAGCGGTATAAGGGGGGCCCGCCAACTGGATATTCGACAGAAGACAAGAGGGGAAGTTTTTGTTTGGGGAGGTTTTTTTTTTTAGAAAACTCAATTTAAGTAAAGTTTTTTTTTTTTTTTAGAAAAATCAATTTAAGTAGAGGAGGAAAAGTCTTTTGCTTGAAGAGCTTATTTTTTAGAAAATTCAGTTCAAGCAGAAGAGGAAAAGTTTTTGTTTGAGGAGCTTTTTTTTTGTCACGGGTACCGATCTAGAAAATTGTTCTGGGGCCCGGCCTGGCTCTCGGCGGCCCTGTTGGTTATTGAGGCTGAATTTAAGTTAATAATTATTCAGAGTATCCAGAAACGCTCTTGAAAGAATGAAACTACGAAATCTAGAATTGATTTTATGACGATTTAGCCTAAATTACCTTAATCCAAAAATGCTTCCTAAGGGAGCTAGAGCTCTTTGAAGATAGCGCTCTAAAATCGGTTTAATTAAAATACCTTCAAAACGGATTTTTATTAAATTATATTATTCTGTAAGTTTATTTATTGGAATCTAACCAATCAAATTTGATAAATAAGATTTTTTAATATAGTCATAAGCGGCTCGTTTGGGCGGGGTATTGCATAGTTTTATTTAATTTTTTTTTGTCTTTCGAACAGTCGCCATTTTGAAATGAAATTTAAAAAACTTCGTTATCTTCACACAAAAATGGTACTCTTATCTGAAGTCTCCATGACTAACCGTTATCGAGAAAAATCGACTTAAACTGTTCATGTCTTTACATACGTTTTCATTGATTAACAAATAAATTTCAAAATTATGCTAAGGTGACCATGAAAAATATATAAAATACCTAAGAATTGTATAAATACATAATAAACTGTTTTTGTCCAAACTTTAGGTAGGTACTCAAAAAAATGTTTGCAATTAATGACTGTGCTTTTCTGAAGTAAAAAAATAAATTAATGTAAAAATTTTCAGTTGATACAATCTCAGGCAGCACACATTGGTATAAATTACGTATTTTTTTAGGTACTACCATACGTATGAATACGGTTGATGTACTACCAAATATATTCGTGAAAATGTCCGCCTTATAAACGTCGATTACTAAGAATTTTTCCACCTATAATTAAACGTTTTTACTATACGTCTATATTAGATTTATAGTTGTAGTATATTTATACGAATTCACTTTGGTATAAAATACGTTTTTTTATGTACTACAATATACGTATGGATACTGTTGATATGCTACCCAATATATACGTGAAAATGTCCGCCCTATAAACGTATATTTTTTTATT